GGAAGTGGCTTTGCTTTATTTACAGAGAGCAAGAGCATGTCACGTTCATCAGATAATTAATTCATAATTAATTGAGGCTCACAGCTCACTTTCAGGACTATTTTTCCAGTCTGATGAGTCGCTGTCACGCATTGCTGCGGATCAGGACACGACTGCAGGCACTCCTTTCAGCTAAAGAGCTCCTCTCCGTCTGTTTCAGGTTAGTGGACATCATTCAGTAAACTGTCCCGTCAGGAAATATGTCGCTACGTCACACAGTGGAGTCTCTCTGATTGGGTGATGCTGCGCGTCGAGCTGCAAAAGTTCAGATTTTCTAACTTCAGCGATTTGCGCCTCAGTGCGTCGAACGCTCGGATCGTTCAAATCATTCAAATCGCGCTGCTCTAATCGCGCTTGAGGCGCCGCAGCACTTCCCGACGTTGCTTGAAGCGCATCCACCATAGACTTTGTATGTAAACCTGCTGCTCCTGACACTGAAATCGCGTTTGGTGTGAACGCACCATTAGAGTCAAATTTTCAGGCAAGAAATCCTCTTTAAAATACACTAATATTAAAATTTAGACTAATTTCTCTGAGGTATTCCAGTTTAACAAGACAATACAAGCCATATGTGTGGAACCACTCATGATATCTGGATTATCGGGTATCAAAATGTAGCTTAAATATCCAGACATTTTAAAATGTGCTTAGTTAAGTTTGACTAAATATGACTTGATCCCTGTTTTGATGTGATGGGTCACATGTTGTATAGTGATATTTAACATTGCATGTTTATATTGTTGCACATTTTCAAAGACCTCAGGCCTTCTCTTTTAAAACGTTTAAAACTCCATATTTTCCAGAGATTATTCAAAACATTATCAACTAAAACAGATTCATATTTTTTTCTTGTGTGTTTTACAAGACAAAAACTTAAAATGGCTTCTGCTTTGTACAACAGGAAGTTAAGATCCAAGACCGGCAGCTCTTGCTGGGATCTGGTTTCCCAGCTCCATCAGTGATCCCCATCTTGTTTGAGGAAACGTTCTACAATGACCAGGAACAGCGGTACAGCATCCTGTGCATCTCCAGGCCTGTGGAGTTAGAAACGAGCCCGACCGAGGTCAGTCCGCTTCCCACTTACTGCCTGAGGAATCTGGAGGATGTGGTGGAGTTCCTGGGTCGTCCCGCCCAGAAACTGGACAAGTTCATCCACAGCTTCTGTGAAGCTTTTAATGAACAGGAGAGGAAGGGACTTCGTCACCTCATAGTATGAAAAACTTAAGTCTAGCAGTTCAGATTTGTCTTGTTCTAATTTCTTCAGTTTCTCAGAAAAATAGAGAAAGCCTTAAATATCTAACAAGTATTTTGTCTCTGTGTTTTTACTTTTTAGGACTCTGTGAATGGTCTTTACACTAAATGTCTTCAATGTCTACTGAGAGACTCTCGTCTGGTAAGTGGAGTAGCTTCCAGTCTGGCTCTCTGCTATAGATCATGTTGCTGTGGCAGTGTTGGGTTAAAAAAGAATTAAACAGGACTGAAACAATTCATTGAGCAACTCAAACACGCATGATTGGGCTGCCTCCAGGCCTCCCATAAACACATCTCTGATCTCAGGATTTGCCTGGTTTAATAAAGCAGAACAAACAAACTTGATATAAAAAAAGACAAACTCTTTGGTTCAATGCTTTGTTTCTTCACTGTAACTGTATTCTGGTGGGTGGACACATTGTTTCATTGGGACAGTTATTACTGTTGGACAACATGCCAATGTTACATTATGTTTGACGAGGGACGAAACACACCATCTGGGTCCAGTTCCAATCTAACAGGACCCTCAGACAGAGGCTGGTTCATCCTAAGGACAGAAAACCTAAAGCGAGTCGTGTGATGTCTGCTGTTCGGTGCAGGGAGGAATGTTCAGAGCTCTGTATTAGAGGAACTTAACCTCTCCACAGACGCATGACTCAGCACAGGAGAGCAGCTCTTCAGGACCAGACTCAGCTGAGCACCTACAACACAAGGATAAATGACACTCTTTTGAGGACCAAAATGATCATATTTAGGACATAAAAGATGTATTGACTCCTCTGCGTGAAGCCAAGTCTGGCACTCCCACAGGGGAAGGCCCATGTATTTGTGAATGGCAGCAGGTGATGTGCATTCCCTCAAGGGATGCTAGTTTTTAATGACTTATCTTTACTTTTCTCTTTGTCTTTACAGAAACTTATGGCAAAGCAGGAGCTTCAGATGACTCTTCTTAAACAGGCAGTTGAGGTACCTGCTTTTAAATCAACTTCTCTCTTCAGTTCCAGTAAAGAACCATGTTGATAAGTTTTAAGTACAATATGTTTACCTGCCATCACTTGTGGAACAAGTGTAACTCTACTGAATAGACAACTGGGGAGAGAAAACAGTGTTACTGTTAAATGGGTACCAGGACATACTGACATTAACGGTAATGAGAAAGCTGACTACCTCGCAAAAGCTGGCAGTCAGGCTCCCTTCAAAGGACCAGGGGTCGGATTTATAAAACTGGTGTACGCACAATTTGAGCCTAGAAACTTGCGTACGCCACTTTGTACGCCGAGGTTGTGATTTATAAAATCCAAACTTGACGTGAAAATGTGCGGTGCCTCACGCCAGCTCTGACCCATTCGTACGCTCATTTTGGAGACGTGAAACTACGACACAGATGGTGAAGTGGTGAATTATAGCCACACTGTGTAATGATCACTGTCAGATATTTAATTYACCTAAATCAGACTTAGATTTTTATTCAACTTTATCATCAGCTTTCTTAACAGTAATATTTAT